CTACCTACTACCTACTACCTACTACCTACTACCTACTACCTACTACCGACGACGACTGCGACTACGATGGCTCCCTGAGCCGATAATTCAGGGGGAGTGGACCTCATGAGTGGTTATCTCATTCCTTGTTGACCTTGTTGACCTACCATGTGGGGGGGGGTTTATTAATCCGGTCTTTGCATTATATATATATATATATTATAATATTATGTAGTGGCTGCCTGAGGTCGGGATCAGCCAAATGGAAAGTTCAACGACGGTTTTCAGAATTTTCCAGTGATGGAACCACATTTAAACAGCCGTGAGAGTTGTTCTTTGGCCCCACAAGTCTGGCTTTGGATAAAAATGAACTCAACGGTGGGCAGTTGTTGTTCAAATGGAAGCTCCAAGTTGAATGGTCTGCACCTCTGTGCGCTGTCCAGTGCAATGAATCTTGACGAAGAACATGGCAGGGAGTCAGTAGATGCGATGATCCAGTGTTTGTTTTCATCCTGGTCTTTAGGTTTCAGGCCATCGCTATTGGGTTGGAGGCCATCGCTACTAGGGTGGAGGCCATAGCTGCCATAGCTATTAGGTTGGAGGCCATCGCTCTCAGGTTAGAGGCCATCGATATCAGGTCTCAGGTCTCATGGCCTCAGTGTTTCATCCTGGTCTTTAGCTTTCGGAGCTTGTGGCTTCGTTTTGTGCACCCGCGATCTGGACTCAACACGCACTGGACTCACCTGATGATCGGATCTTTGGCCACTGGGTGGTCGAGGGCAGGCCTTGGAGCTGCCGTGCGCGGAGCCACTGCGGGACGATGCGCGTGATGCACAAATCTGGTGTTGCAAATCCAACTGGATGCAAATCCTTTCTCATGCTGCGCAAAAGGGACTGCATAAATGACTTGGGTTGAAGCAAACCTCGCTACTTACCACACTGAACGAATCCTACACCCTCACCGACGCCACTCTTTGCCAATTTGACAGAGCAATGTCTGGAATAAAAGAAGATAGCAAGTGGCCACCGGATTCAGCCACCTACAAAACCAAGTGAGATGAGGGCAGGCGGGAGACGTGGCAAAAAAGCTTCCTGCTTCATTCAGTCTCTCTTCTTGGCGGATTGCCGGGGAAGGGAGGAAAAGTGTAAAGATATAAAATGGAAACATGTATAAACATGTCCATTTCTCACAAATCATAGGTACATCCCCCGAATGGTCCGGAATTCCAATAGTGGAATAGCCCTCCCCGTTTTGGAGCTGGTGACAGGCTAGAATAGACGCTAGAAACCTGGTTCCAAACCTCCTCTATCCGCATTCCAAGTGTTTGCATACGGTAGCCGTCTACCGCGGAAAGGGTTGGCTCGGTCCGCGATTCCGCCCACGTTTCGCTGTGCAAGCAAGCTGCTCAAGGGTCTTGACGCCACCGGCCAAACCTGGTGGGCGTGTAGCGAAGGAAATGGTGGCCGAATCATGGATGACGGTGGAAGAATCACCCCCCGATCTCCTGACAGGTTGAGTTCAATAGTCAACAGATAGGGACGACCCTTGAAACCAGCTTGTGACCTGATGGAAGGTGCTGCTGATCTCATTTAAAAAAAATAAATAATAATGCCAAGTCACCCAAATCACCCTCCTCGAAGTCTACCCTCCGCTGCAGGTCCAACGACTCCACAAATGCCTTCCAGCGCTCCACCTCCGAGCATCGAACCCCGGCGCACTGGGCTACCGTTGGGCGACCGTACGAAGTCCATCCCTACATTGGATCCTCTCAAGGGCAGGCGATCGAATCGGGCCATGTTCGGCTGATGATTTCAGTGGGCAACCTATGGTTACAAGAACCTTGAATCAATCCAAGGGGAAGGTCGAGACATCTATGTACGCTTCCAGAGTTTGCGTCGTCAGCCTTCAAATCCTTCAGACTGTCCAAGATGATCAGCCCCCGTGCCAGGCGGGCATAACCCTTGATGTCGCCCGCCAAAGAGTTATAAACACCGCAGAACTGGGAGATCAGCAAGTTGAAGAGAAAACCTGAACATTGCGCGGCACAGGGAAGAACAGTCTGCTCGACACTGGCCATTAAAGAGCAGGAATGATTGGATTCAACATCATCGGTTCCAACTGGTTCCAAAAAATAGCTGTGTGGAAATCCAAAGAGAGCCCGGGCGTGATTCATTTTCGTCAGAAACTGCGAAGCATTGAACGTTTGAAGAACAAATTTCCTTTGAGAAACGAATTTGCGAGTTGTATACCGCTCTGCCAAACGTACCACCGAATCCCTCCAAAGGATTGTAAAATGAAAGAGTTGGACAAGCAACACTTGAAGCTGCTTGCCACTTAAACTTCTTGTGTCAATGTGGAAGCCCCCTGGCATGGAATAGCTAGACTTCAGAGTAGACAACCGTGCACCCAGCGCATGGCCAGTGAAAAATGGCGAGCACGACAATCAACAACAAACAATCACAAACATTTATTCACACACGATGACAACACGCTCGCCATCTACACAAGGAAACCCCACGGTTCGCCAGAGAGCCAGGGATCCCGCCGGCCCAGTCCGTCTGGCCGACATGACAGACAGCAAAGGTTGACCCCTAAAGGACAGCCCGCTGAGGACATGAATGTCTCAGCCAAGATGTCTGGACCTTGCTTCCTGTGGATTGGTTGTGACCAAGGCAGCGATGTTGGATCAGTTGTGATCGAGGTGCTGCTGGCTTGATTGTGGTTAAGGCAATGCACTTGCAGCGAACTGTAACGAAGTCACAATCAAGCAAAGCAAGGGCCTGCTGGATAGCTGGCTGGACAGTTTAAAAAGAAAACGCATCACATCAGCAAAAAAAGTGTTAGAAACAGCTATGCAAAGCATGATGAAAGCAAACCACAGCGAAGCATCTGATGCAGAAATTGAAAATTGCAGGTATGGTTGCAGCCACAGCCGAGGAGCGTCTCCGTTGGCCCCAAACCTCCCATTGGCTCTGTGTCTTCGTTTTCAAACAGACTTGCTTCAACTCAAAACCCTGCAATATGTCACACAATGTGGCATTGACACACACACACAAACAAACAAACACACACACAGTATGAGAGCATCAAACATACCACACAACACACAATGACAAGTAGAACAACAAACAGCAAACATCAACAAACAATGAGACAGGGGAGAGAGAGAGAGAGAGAGAAAAAAAAAAAAGAGAGAGAGAGAGATGACAACACCAAACACGAGAGTTCGCAACACACGAGGACAAGCACAGTAACAAACAGCAAACAATGACAACCCACACACCTGAAACATTGCAACACCAACTATAATCACAACACGTGTCCCCTTTGATCCAAACCGGAATCTCCATTGATCCAAAGGGCTGTAGACCATCAACATGAAAAGAATGACGAGGAGTAGAATGAAAGGACTCTCGACACTCAGCTCATGAAGGACTTGAAGATCCAACACGCCCACCACCATCCTTGGCGAGCACATGCTTGCAGGGCCGTGGGCATGGATATGGGTCGCGAGATAAGCTCTGAACTCTGAAAACATATCAAAACCATGCTAAGTACACTCACATGATCAGGGAAGCAATGTACTCTTGATTATATAATGAATGGTAGGGGTTGGGTTCGTGAAACCTCTTCATAACTTCAAATGTTTTTTCTGATCGAGAGTCCACATTAGAGTCCACATTACCTTGTGTTCATTGGGTTCCAGATCAGCTTGGCGACAGGCTGCTTTGGCGAGTTGTATTTACACCCAACTCGACAAAGTGAGAGCCCTTATCCCTGCCGGCCCTACCACATCCAGTTCAGCACGCAGCCTGAAGCATCCAGTTCAGCTGTGGAAAGTCATGGCACCAGACCGGTTTCGGGCATGACCTACCTGGAAGCCTGGTGTCGGTCGTTACATGGTGGACCAGTGACCAGGGCTCCAGGTGGGTTACGACCTATTTTCAATGCGTTCCTTAATGTGTCGAATAAGTCTTACAAAAAACGTCGGTGGTGTCGGTCACAAATGGACCGGTTGAAATCCTACCCGTCGGTGCATTGTGTGCAAAGCTATTATTGAATGTCTTGAACTTCTATAGAGGATTGCTAAAACAATGTGGGCGTGGGTGGAGAGCTATGTAAATTGACATGAATTGAAAGCTTTTGGGAATCCATTGCCTCTACAAAAAATGGGCAACGCCGAACTTGTGCCCAAAACCTGTGGTCTTGGAAGCTTGATAGTCAGTCACTTTCCAGCTTGGGCATACACCTGACAAAGGGCTTTTGCTTTTCGGGCTTGCTGGGATGACACCTGATCAAAGATTTAGGTAGCAATTGGACCACCAACGTCCCTACCATCCAATACACCGAACTTCAACGATCTGTCCAAGCCGGTATCCAAGGTGGAAAGCAACACGACCTCTAGACTCTAGACCTCTAGCCCTTCCAAAGTGGAAGCAGTTCGGTAGTTATTTTTATATTTGAGTAGTGAAGGATCTTTAGCAGAAAGAAAGGAATGCTACTTCTTGTGCAATCCAAAGATCTCAATCAGCATGGCCATGATCGAACCGAAGCTGTCCCACTCGTGAGCGCTCAAGCGTGCCAGTTCATGATCGGCCGCTACGATTGCAAAGGTGAAGGCACAAACGGTGATGAACACGGCTCCAACACCTGACCGCTATGTGTCAATAAGTCTTCGGGTGAAACTGTTGCCTGTGGAACAAAAGAATTGAGAAAGCTGGTTTGGTCAGGCATACGAGAAAACTAAGGAGATGCACTAGGTACCAGGGGTCTGATAAAACGCTCGCCTAAACTTACGGCGGGGCACTGCGGATGCCCTTGCAAGGAATCGGGCCGGGTCAAGAAGACGACACACTGAACTGAACCATCTGCCTGGTCACATTCTTACAGCAAATCAGTCTTCTTGTCCATGTGTAGAGAATTTATGAGAATTTCTTCCAAACTAAAAGGCCGTGAAGGTTCAATCCTGGCATGAGCATCAAAAAAAAGAAGTAAAATAGACCACGAGAATCTGGTGGATCTTGTGGGTACCGACACGGAACCTGCAACTCCGTCGGTCCAAGCGACAAATGAGCACTTGCTTCACCGCGTTCAAGCAAAGAACTCGATACTCTGAGAGTTCAATGGACACGGACGCGAGCTCCAGCACCAGGAGGGTGTAGAAAAAGATGCCCACCACAATGAAGGTCTCCTCGGAGGGTCGAGTCGCCCGAAGGCAGGCAGATCACCGGTTCAGTTGAGGATGGATCGTTGCGGATTGCCTCATGGTTCAAACGGGTTCTCCCATTCTGGGAGCTGCTGCGCATGCTGTGGCATCCTGGCGACTTGGAGTCAACAGTCCAAGTCCCGGAGCCGCATCAACCCGCACGCTCTCGGTTTGGATAGGGTTTGGATAGACGGAGCGCGAGGTTGGACCCCTGTTTTTGTGGATTGAGAGTAGGTGGCGCAAACACCAAGGGTAGATGGCTGAAAAATGGACCCCCATCCAAAAGACATATTGGGGGTTGTGTCGTGTTGCGCCATCTACTCTAAAACCACTGCAATAGACACCCTTACCACCGATTGCCACATACAATAGTCTGTTTTGCACTTGCACTCGATGTTATAAAGGTCATCCGGATTCTTCTATATAGTGCCTCAATCGCTTAGGGGCTTCTCCCCTCACCGGTCTCTCCACCATTCGAGCAGCATAGGCGAAGCTCATGCCTTCGGTCCAGGTTTCACAGGTGAAGCGAAGGAGCTGATTGTCGGCGCCTGGAAATCAAGCAGGATTTGGTGAGTGCCAAATTCTACCAGTCCAACAATTGTGGACGTGGAAGACATGTTGACCATAATTGGACCATCATGATTATATAGTCTTGATATTACTTTTGGAGTGCTACTTGATGGTCAAATCACCCGTGGCATGGATTGCAGCCCCAAGTCCATCATGCAAAACACATCTGATTCCATTTCGGATCAGCTGGACCCACCAAACTAAAAGACCTAAAGGTGGCCAAACCAGACCCTCAACTGGCTGAAGTAAGTCTATTGGTACAGACTGGGTGAAACAAACCCTTACGTATCGTCAGACCATGTGCAGGATACAAATCCACAAGTTTCTCCCTTCCAAGAAAAACATCCCTGAACCATTGTGACTTGTGAGTGTCACCGTCACACAGCAATGTCACCGACTACTCCACTTTCCGTAGCAGGGCGGTAGGGCAATCAAATGTGCAACCTTTCCTACTATGGATCCACTGCCACCCTCTTTTTGAGGGCGTGCTCGACACTTGTAGACGCCTGAGAAAGTGGTAATGGATCCCCCGACGGGTGTGTGGCCTTCACTGAAAAATCCAAACTCACAATCCAAATGAATGATGTCTATACCTAGTTACTTACATTAGGGCCAAAAATGGTGTAAATCTCTATGTAACTATTCCATACATGGATGGTTTGGATTATATATATATATATGTCTTGAACCGGCTTGAACCGACAGTAACTCGTTCTCGTGCAGGAACCTCTAGTGCAAATCTGCTAAAATGTCTGAACGATTGTCCAGGTGCAGGTTTCAAGTCTACTGAAAACTAATTGTTAATCCACGTTAAAATATCGGGGGAGGGGTGGAGGCCCTCATTTTGTAGAGAAAACCACTGTTTGGCTCTAACAAAATGATACCCTCTACAAAATGACCCCTCAATCCAGGGCACAGGGTCTCTATAAAATGATGGGCATGACGCCATTTTGTAGAGAATTGAACATTTGATGAAATTGGATTTACAAAATGAAGGGCACGACGTCATTGTAAAGACAAATTTGATGAAACTTGTCTACAAAATGACCCATTGCTATTAGGCTGGAGGCTATTCCTATCAGGCTGGAGGACATTGCTATTAGGCTGGAGGCCATTGCTATTAGGTTGGAGGCCATTGCTATTAGGCTGGAGGCCATGGCTATTAGGCTGGAGGCCATTGCTATTCGGCTGACCACGGACATTAGGCTGAATGGTTAGCTGGCTTTTCGTTTTGGGTCCAGTTCTTGTGTGCGGGTCGGCCTTTTTGGTGAGAGACCGGCAACAGGCGTTGATGCTGCAGTGAAGGGCTCATTCGTTGTGAGCTGTGGAGTTTTGGTGCACCACCCCATTATCCATGCTTGGTCAGTGACTTAGGGCCTCTTTGAGTTTTGCGTTTGCGCTGCGCGCTGCCCACAAGAAGTGCTTTGTCAGATTTTTTCCTTGCCTACCTGCTGGCTGAAGTTTTCCAATGCTTTCAGCGAGCGGAGTAGTAGTTCTGGGCAGGTACTGGTCCAAGTCCTATCATCCATGTAGATGCAGTGGCTGCAGTTCGCGTCTGGGGCTGGCGCTGCTGTTTCCACGTAGTTGTAGCCAGCAAACATGTAGGCCCCCTGGCATCCCCTGCAAAGAGATTGTTTTATCTCTTTCCAGAGGGCTGGCGACTCCATCTAACGTGGCAACGAAAAACTGGCCGCGTCACTGGCGGCTGCCAGAGTCGGCGCACCAGTCTCCAGCAACTGAAACTGATGGAGGCCTTGCACCACGCGAGAGGAACAAACACTGCGTCACAATAGTTTGCTAGCAAGGAAAAAACAAACAACGCATCGAGAACCGGGCTGACCCAACGCATCTTCTCATCATAGCACGCCAGGGTGCTGTCGCCTAGTTGGCAATAGCCGTCTAGGCGTACGGCGAGCACTGTGCGGGTCAGGGCCTGACAGGGAACAGAAACAACAAAAGATGTCATCGCCCCAAACAACATCCCCTCACTCCAATGCCTCTCCAGTGGACTGACTCCAATACAAGACACGCTTGCCCAGGAGCCAGCCAAAAGATTCCACCCGGCCGACACAACGACGAAACCTGCCAGGTTTCCGTACTTATCAAGACGACCCCCAGCAGGAAAAACATGGCGGCGAAACCATTTGAAGAGGATGCAAAAATGGGCTGCGGCAAAGTGCAAAGCTTGAGACAAGAATGGAACACAATGAATCCATGCGCATGGACAAAACCCACGAGCGAAGCGACTTCGAATAGAAAAAACGCAACCGGCGAACCACGATGCCTCGCGTGCACAGTTCTAGCAGCAATCTCCCCCAAAAGATACAGCAGCACTGAGCAAGTCGGTCTCTTCCCACACTCACCCGGCATTCGCGAGCATTGGTGGCAATTTTTCCAAGGCGCGACACACCGTGCCGTGCGCACGGACGCCAAACTCTCCGAGCAAAAGCACAACGAATCCCGCGCAACCCATCACGTGCCCAGAGCATCCTCGATTGAAAAAATCAAGTGCACGGCTGAAAAAAATCAAGCGTCGATTGAAACTTGAATTTTATGATACTTTTTCAAGTGGAGGCATGTTCTTGTCGATTGAGATTTCGATTGAAAAACACATACTTTTCGATTGAAAATTCGATTGAGTTTTGAAGGAATATAGTCCTTTAAGTAGCTTTAAAACTTGAAGTTTTTTTACTATCAGTGTACTTAAAAAGCTTTGTCTTATTATTCAGCTGACTGAAAAAGCTTTGTGTTCTTGTTGGCTTCTGGGCTTCTTGGTAGCTTTGGGCTGGACTGCCCTAAAGGGTTCTTGAGTTATCTCTGGCTGTGGGCTGGACAGCCACGTTGGTTGTTGCTGGCTTTGGGCTAGTGTTTTGTGTCTGGCTTTGGGCTGGACAGCCCTGGGTTAAGTGTTTTTGCTTTGGGCTGGACAGCCCTGTGTTTTGTTACTGGCTTTGGGCTAGGCAGCCCTGTGTTTTTTGGCTGGCTTTGGGCTGGACAGCCCTGTGTTTTGTTGCTGGCTTTGGGCTGGACAGCCCTGTGTTTCGTTGCTGGCTTTGGGCTGGACAGCCCTGTGTTTTTTGGCTGGCTTTGGGCTGGACAGCCCTGTGTTTTGTTGCTGGCTTTGGTCTGGACAGCCCTGTGTTTTTTGTTGGCTTTGGGCCTTGGGCTGGACAGCCTTGTGTTTTGTTGCTGGCTTTGGGCTGGACAGCCCTGTGTTTTTTGTTGGCGTTGGGCTGGACAGCACTGAGTTTTTGCTGGCTTTGGGCTGGACAGCCCCTAGGGCCCTATAGGGTTGTTGCTGGCTTTGGGCTGGACAGCCCTGTGTTTTGTTGCTGCCTGGGCACCCTGTGGTTTTTGGTTGCCTTTGGGCTGGACAGCCCTGGGCTGAAGCTATTTGCTTGCTTGCGCATTTCACCATGTCAAAGGAAAGGGGTGGAGCCAGGAGGACACCTGTGCCTCAAATAGATGAAGAGCATCTGCTCGATGTCTGCACGAGCCATGTCAAGAAGGTTGGTGAGGCAGCTGCCTTTGCAATGGGGCCATACCTGTCAATGGATGCAAGTCAAGCTGTAAGAGGTGGGCCTCTGGGAGATGTTGACCTTCTGGTCGACCTTGGAAAGGTGTCACCCACCTTAGAGTTCAAATACTCCAGCTTGAAGGCTTGCTTCATGCAAGTCTTGCAGATGCACCCTGGTGTGAAAGACAAGTGGCCAATTTCAGAGCATGCAAATGTTCCCAAGATTTTGGCAGATTCTGCCCTTGTGGTTTGCAACCAGAGAAAAAATGATGTGGGATCAACCAGGCGCAGGTCACCCAAAAAGGAAACTGGACAAAGGAAGAGGGCTGCCACCCCAAGCCCCAAAGAGCAGAATGAACCAGAGAAGAGAGCTAAGAAGAAAGCTGCCAGCCCTGCCAAGTCTTCAGGGTCGAGTGGGACTTTGGCTGCCCTGCAGGACTTAGACATCCCAGCCACGCAGGAGACTAATAGGGAGAATTCCTTGCTGAATTCAGCCAAGAAGTCTACACCTGTGCCAGCCAGAAAAGCAGTACTGAGGGAAAAGGTTGCCCAAAGCAAAGGATTCAAGAGACCTGCTGCAGACCTGGTGAACCTTTCCTGATGAGTACAAGGTGACTGAGGAGCTCAAGGTGATGCCCTACAAGAAGCTGGGCTCATGCGCTTTGAAAATCAAGAATGGCAGGCAGCTGATCCAGGTGGTCTCCCCCCCATGGATTTGAAGATTCGAAGAGTTTGGCTACGCAGATGAAGAAGATGTTTGAGAAAGGCAAAAGCTTTGGTGAAGTCAAAGCTTGGAAAGAGAAGAAGGTGTCTGGATAGCCAACAAAGGAATGGTGGAAAACAAGCTTGAGTGTCTGGTTTTGGGCTGTGGGCTGGACAGTTTCAAAGAATTGTGGGCTGCCACAGATATGGGCTGGCGACAAAGAATTGTTCTCAGCTGGACCTATGGCTCAGAAAGCTATATGGGCTGGATAGCCGGATAGCCCAAATGGCTGCCTCCTGCACACATGGCACTCCAGGGCACAAGGTGCCATGAACCAAAAATTCCGATTCATGTTTCACTTGTACCCTACTTCTGAAAGAGAAGAAGAAGTACAAGATAGCTCTCCTGAGTGTGAAGAACACCCAGAGAGCCCTGCAAAGAATTAAGTGCGCAGCTGTCAACTAGTTAGCAGCCAGCAGCAAGTGCCAAAATCTTTGCGTCTGCTTCTGCTGCAGGCAGCCCCAGAACTGAACAACACATTAGGCTGGAGAAGCCTTCTCATTTGGGCTGGAACATAGGCTGGATTAGCCTTTTGTAGTTTGGGCTGGAGAGCCCCAGGACTGCAAGCTAGCTCATCACACGCGCCGGCTTTTTCATTGCTCCTACGTAGAGATGCACAACGGTTCCCTCGCGCCCTCTACCCAGCCCGTCGGCGTTTTAATAGTGACTGCTGTGGACGAGACTGTGAGGCAGCATTTTGTGGGACTCGAGTTGCCACGACTCGCTCGTTCCAGAGTCGCGCAACCAAGAGGCAAAACACATCAAAGGTACCGGGTCGCATATTGCGCGTGAGGGGGACGAAAAGTTCAAACCCGAGTTAAATTGCTCGCACATGCTCGAATTGTAGTTCTTCAATTGATCTTCGGGCATAAACAATCGATGCCGAGACGACAAGCACGCTGTGTGATTCTGCTTATGCCCACGGTTCAGTACAAAAGTCATATTGGGACAGAGATCCGTTGCCTCACTGGAACTATAAACCTAGCCAGAGTGCAGGCATTGCCGTACTCAACTTACTTTACCGACCGACGGGTGTGCACCGCTGCTAACATGCCGAACACCTAGATGAGAGATTCGTGCCGGCAACAACGTAGCAACCCGACCGCATCCCAGAAAGGCCATAATAATGCTGCCGTCGAAGCGCCTCACAAAAGTCACGTGTGTCCGGAGAACCTTTCACCAACCCGCACGGGTTTTCGTCTGGTTGCAACACGCAGATTCGGGCAGTCATGTGAACATTTCCAAATCCTGACTGCATATCCAAGTGCATATCCTCCACCTGTCCACACACAGCCGGAGGAGGAGTTTCCGCGCTGCCCATGCCCACGGTGTCAGCTGCTACCTGCGTAGCGCACGCATGCCACAAAGGCCACGAGCATCCCAACGCGCAGTTCCACAGCACGTCGCCCAGAACCAGGTTAGTGTCGCACAGAGAACACCGGACTGGATCCATGCAACGACGACGTTTGAGCTCGTGTCCAGCAGGACACAAGCTCTTGGTAACATTTCTAGCTGCCTCACAGTGATGAACACGACATGCAACTGAACCGCGTAGGCACGGCTGTAGGCCGTAGGCATCCATATGCCAGATGAACACCACCACGCAACAGACGCAACGTGCTTCCACTTTTGTGACAACAGACTGGAACGGCATGATTGCTTTTGCCCGTCAAACGCAACCACCGGGAAGGAATTGCACGTGACACAGCAATGATTTTTGGCATAATATTTCAATAAGACTGCAACATCTCACTTCGAAGATCACCACAATGTCTTTGGAAAGAAAATTCCAGCGCCTGCAATCGGTCCCAATCATCTTCTGTAATTGCAAAACAACTTCGTACACAAGCCAGGCATTCAACAGCTTGTCATGCAAGTGTTCTACCTGCGGTAGCCCATGAAAGTCTTCCAGGAGCGCAGCAAAGCCACGAAAAAGAACTCCGGACATGTAGCGACGCAGCACACATGAAACGATACAAGGTACCATCAATTGCAGCGATACTTGTCTTCGTTGGCCACAATTGCACCAAAAGAATGCCCGTGGTCACCACTTTGCGCTCTAAGCGCGCGGCAGTGGTGTTGCCTGGAACCCACGACCACACACCGCTGAACATACGTTCGCAGGTCACGCACTGCTGCCGAACAACGTCCAGAGCCCGTAAGCCATGTGCATGGGTCAACGCATGGCAGGCAACGACTTCTGTCCTCAGATCACGTGGCACCGCGGACACAAGTTCCATCGCTCTGCCGCCAGTCCGTCCAACGCACGCATCCCTTCCCTCCGGTCGTTGTGGTTCGTGTCGTTGCTGTGGCATGCTATTTCTTGTACCTCGACACAAAAGCATTTGTTTGTGAGTATCTGGTAAAAAAAAACGTCTCTCTTGTGCGTTGTTCTTCCCGTGATTTTTTTGTAACCTTTCGTTCCGAGGACAGGAGATAGTTGATGTGATTCTGCCTGACTTGATCTCGGCGTTGCTGCAATGGGGAAGCGGATTCGCGATGCAACAACACAACACGCAACATGCAAGTTTGTAGACACAATTGCAGAACAAACAACCGCCAGAAGCTAAGGGCGCCACATGGAAGAACTGCCATGTACGACCCGACGTGGTAACTTACCCCTTTGCGGCGCTCGTGCCAAGAACCTGAATAGGTACCTAAAAAGCCTTAGAAACAAAAAGAAAGAAACACAGAAAGAGCAGCGCTAAGAGGTCAGGAGAGAAAGATAGGTGTAGGAAAAGTGAATACTTAGCCCTTGACTGGGGTAGGGAAACGAGCCTCAAGAGCAACCTAAAAAGCCTGAGAGAAAGCCCAAGAAACGACCAAAAGCGCAAGAAGGAAAGCGGGGGGGGCAGTGAGGTGTATGTACATGTGTGTGTCCGTGTGTGTGTGTATGAATACTTAGCACTCTAGAGTTACTGACTACTTAGCAGAAGCGAATTACGTACAATAGTTAGGGAGCGGGACTTTAGTCTTAAACCGCCCGGGTAGAGAAGAATAGAAAAGGGACAACAGAGGGAAACGTACCGACACACAAGTGTGCCGAGTACCATTTGCCTCTGTTACCCTAATTAGGTAGGGAGTAGAACTCGGCGGGGGGGGGTTGGCTCAAGTGGGGTGAATTTCCGTTTTTAAGCCCGGCGGCTATCAAATCCGTTTTTTAGCCCGGCGGCTGTGATTGCAAGTTGATGGTATTCCATCGTTTATAGCCCGGCGGCTCGAAACTCCGTTAATTCAGTTATACAAGTGGAAAACGTGGAGTCAGTTATGAAAGTGGAAAACAATGAGTTCCGGCATGGCTTTGGCGCCCCACTGAACGGGATCACACCCAGCACCCGTGGGAAGACTGAGCGGCTCACACTCTGACATTGGTCTTCAGTTAACTCAATTGCCACGATGGGAAGGAAGGTGAAGAACGGTAAGGTGAAGAGTCCGCAAAACTTGTAGATGTTTGAACAAACTGTTTTGAAGTCTGCAGAAATCACTAAATGCACGGTGCAGCTGCAGAAACGCGGTGGAAACAGTTTGGGGGTAGTATCATGAAACACCATGGAAACAAAAAGCGAGAGTGGACAGCTTGTCAACAGTTGAAGAAAGCAGGTACGTAGTTCTGGCGTCCCAGAACTATGTCACTGTGCGACAGATGCGTCTTCATTGGCTGGAGACATCTGAAGCACACACACAGAACAACACCTAAAAATACTAAACACGGGCGTGAAACAAGTCCAACAAATCCAGCTACTTATGAAAGCAACATTCCCTCAAACCCGAAAACCGTATCCCTAACCTTGTTCCCTTCCAAAGCCCAGAGGTGACGCCCATATTGGGGCTGCGTTGGTTTCAACGCAAGCGCCACCGAGCCACCGAGGCATCGAACCATCGGCTCCACCGTGAGCATCGCCATCTGGAGCAGCACGTGGCCATAGAGAAACATGATAACCGTAATACATCATCATCGTAATTCTCCAGTTCTTTGAGATACAAACATCATTCCAACATTATCTTTAAATTCAAGTCGCTTTGTCACCTCACGCAACGCTGTGATTAGATCAATGTTCCTCTTGTACAATGGAGTTGTCCTGGCAGAAGCCTGGTGTGGTGTGGTTGTGCAGAAGGAACCCGAAGGAATGGTCTGGGAATATTTAAAAAGTAAAATGAGTATCAATCAGTTCAACCCATCTTGGCACTGTCTGTCACTGTAGTTCGGAGTGCAAACCAAGAGCAACTTCTTCAACTCCACGAGAGCAACCGGTTTTCATCTTTTGGCCAAACCTCTCCCCTCTAACAGGTTCTCAAAGAGACCCTTCTTGGGACGCTGTTTCCGCGTTCTTGCCCAAGTGGCCATGTCCAGCATGAGCAGCAAGCCTATGAAGTCTGGCCCATTCGTCAAGTACTGCGGCACGCTGAAAGGACCTCAGAAAACGTCGGTTTAGAAACTTCTGCGGCCGAAAACTATCGCTATCCGTTTCGCAATCGCCACTGGGTTTACGGCAGAACTTCGCCGGGCGGATTGAAACGAAAAATAGGCATCGACCGGGCGTGGAAGCGTGGGAAGACTCGGTCGACCTGGGGGACATGGAAAGGACGAATCGATGCACGATCGATGCACGATGGGGTGAAAAACAACACACGGATCGAATCAAGTGTTGACATGTGTTGACACAACAAAGGACAAACTTTGGGACACAGGAACCAGCAACACTCTGAGAGGTACGCTACTAGGTGGAGGCCATCGCTAGCAAATAGGTTGGAGGCCATCGCTCCTAGTAACAAGAAGCTACTAGTAACAAGGACGCTGTCGCTCTGCTTTGTCTGACCTCGAAACTGCCGTTTGCACAGATGGTCCCACGGATGGAGGGTCCCGACACGTCACCCGTGGTTCCCACCAAAAGGTGATTTTGCTGGATGTGAATTATATACTGTATATATATATATATGTATTATTTTCGCCCCCTACGAAAGTTGCTCACGCTCTACTCTCTTTCTTTTTCACTGGGGATGCGAACGGTGCAGGTAATCTGCTCT